TGAGCGAGAGTTGCTATAGAGCGTGTGCCTACAGGTGGCATTGCGGGGTTGTAGGGCATATGTATCTTCAGCTTTGCTAGACAGTGCCAGACTGTTTTCTAGAGTGAGCAACCCAATTTTTCCTCCCACCAGCAGTGTATGAGGTTCCCACCATGCCCCGTTCATTTCTCAATTACTCTGATGGCTAATGAGGGTTGGACATGTTCTGTATGTTCATTAGCGTTTGAATTTCACTTTTTGTGAAGGGTCTATGCCTGGGCGCATTTTTGTACTGTGGTCTCTCACTTGGTTACTGATTTGTAGGAACACTTGATCAATCCTGGAAGTTGAACATTGTAGGGGCTGAATTTTAAAAACAGTTGTTCCAGGCAGACACTGGGAATAGAAGCAAAGCTACGTCCTTGGTTCCTCTGCTTCCTTCTGTTCCAGTATCATGCCACATCCAGTGTCATTACAATCTCTCTCCCATACCTTTCCTGTCCTCTTCCCCCACTGAAGAGTTTCCCTCTGGAATACTTCCCTTTCCTTTGGACAGCTGTTCATACAGCATAACAGACCCCTTTTGTAACTAAGCCCCTCTTTTTTACATGCCCACTCCCACTTCTTCTACTTAAGAATGACTGACTTGGAATGGGGAGGCATGGTTACTGATGTGAGGGTTATCACGAGACAGTGGCACTGTACTTCTTTCCCTCTCTGTTGTTCTTGTTTATCTTGAGCTAACCTCCCTATATCACTACCGCTACTACGCAGGCAGCTCACTGTCTCTGGTGTCACATCCAGGCTCTTCACCTGAACATTCAAGGCCCTCTACAACCTGATCCCCTCTTTGCTTTCTTGATATTCTTAATCCTGAATCTGGACTCTTATTAAAGAGATTCTAAGTTTCATAAAAAACCTTATGAATAGCAGAGAAACACTGTCTGATTGCACAACTTTAAGAATAGCCTGGAAACATTGTCTGATACAGCGCAGGAGGACAAGTCCCTTAGGTCAGAAGGCTCTCAAAATATGACCGGGAAAGAGCTGCATCATCAAAGTAGAACCAACCTTACTGATATGAATAAAGTAAAGCTTTCAAGACTTCCGTTTGCTGATGTGGCATGACCCAAATTGAGGAGAAACAGCTGCAAAAATCCGTTAATAATCAGAACATGGAAGGTGCAAAGTAAGAATTTAGGAAAATTGGAAGTTGTTAAAAATGAAATGGAATGCATAAAGATTGATATCCTAGGCGTTAGTGAGCTGAAATGGCCTGGTTTTGGCCATTTTGAATCAGACAACCATATAATCTACTATGCCGGGAATGATAATTTGAAGAGGAGTGGCTTGGCATTCATCATCACAAAGGATGTTTCAAGATCTGTCCTGAAGTACAATATCCTGAAGTACAATGCTGTCAGTGATAGGATAATATCCATACGCCTACAAGGAACACCAGTTAATAGGACTGTTATTCAAATTTATGCACCAACCACCAAAGCCAAAGATGAGGAAATTGAAGATTTTTATCAACTTCTGCAGTCTGAAATTTACCAAACAGGCAATCAGGATGTATTAATTATCACTGGTGACTGGAATGCAAAAGTTGAAAATTTTTGAAACAAAGAAGAATCACTGGTAGTTGGAAAATTTGGCCTTGGTGACAGAAATAATGCTGGCGATCACATGATACAATTTTGAAGAACAACAACTGATTCACTGCGAATACCTTTTTTCAACAACACAAACAGTGGCTGTATGTGTGAACTTCGCCAGATGGGAGTACACAGGAATCAGATTGACTACATCTGTGACAAGAGGCAATGGAAAAGCTCAGTATCTTTAGCCAAAACAAGGCCAGGAGCTGATTGTGGAACAGACCATCAACTGCTCATATGCAAGTTCAACTTGAAGTTGAAGACAATTAAAACAAGTCCATGAGAGCCAAAATATGACTTTGAATATATATCCCTCCTGAATTACCATCTAAAGAATAGATTTGATTCATTGAACACCAGTGACCGAAAACTAGAAGAATTGTGGGATGACATCAAGAGCGTTATCCATGAAGAAAGCAAGAGGTCATTAAAAATACAAGAATGAAAGAAAAGACCAAAATGGATGTCAGAAGAGACTCTGAAACTTGCCCTTGAGCGGATAGTAGCTAAAGCAAATGGAAGAAACGACAAGATAAAAGAGCTGAACAGTGTCAAAGAGCAGCTTGAGCAGACAAAGCCAATTACTGTATGAAATGTGCAGAGACCTGGAGTTAGAAAACCAAAAGAAAAGAGCGTGCTTGGCATCATTTCTCAGTCTGAAAGAACTGAAAAAAAATTTAAGCCTCTAGTTGCAGATTCTATGAAAGATTCTATGGGCAAAATATTGAATGATGTAGGAAACATCAAAAGAAGATGGAAGGAATACACAGTGTCACTGTACCAAAAAGAACTGGTCTGTGTTTATCCATTTCAGGAGGTGGCATATAATCAAGAACCAAGGGTATTGAAGGAAGAAGTCAAAGCTGCACTGAAGGAACTGGTGAAGAACAAGGCTTCAGGAATTGACAGAATATCCATTGAGATGTTTCAACAAACAGATGCCCCACTGGAGGCACTTACTCGTCTGTGCCAAGAAATTTGGAAGACAGCTGCCTGGCCAATTGACTGGAAGAGATCCATATTTGTACCCATTCCAAAGAAAGGTGATCCCACAGAATGTGGAAATTATCGAACAATATCACTAATAATGCACGCAAGTAAAATCTTACTTGAAGATAATAAAAAAACAGTTGCAGCAGTATACTGACAGAGAACTTCCAGAGGTGCAGGCTGGATTCAGAAGAGGACGTGGAACAAGGGATATCATTGCTGATGTCAGATGGCTCTTGGCACAAAACAAAGAATACCAGAAAGATGTTTACTTGTGTTTTATTGACTATGAAAAGGCATTTCATTATGTGGATCATAACAAATTGTGGATAACATTGAGAAGAATGAGAATTCCAGAACACTTAATTGTACTCATGAGGAACCTGTACATAGACCAGGAGATTGTTGTTCGAACAGAACAAGGGGACACTGCATGATTTAAAATCAAGAAGGGAGTGCATCAGGATTGTATCCTTTCACCGTACTTATTCAATCTATTTGCTGAGCAAATAATCTGCAAAGTTGGACTATATGAAGAAGAACGTGGCATCAAGATTGAAGGAAGAATCATTAACAACCTGTGATATGCTGACAACACAACTTTGCTTGCTGAAAGTGAGAATGACTTGAAGCACTTACTGATGAAGGTTGAAGAATACATAGTCTGCAGTATGGATTACGTCTCAATATAAAGAAAACAAAAGTCCTCACAGCTGTACCTATAAACAGCATCAAGATAAATGGAGAAAAGATTGAAGTTGTCAAAGACTTCACATTGCTTGGTTCTGCAGTCGACACCAATGGAAGCAGCAGTCAAGACATCAGACGTTGTATAGCACTGGGCAAGTCGGCTACAAAGGACCTCTTTCAAGTGCTGAGGAGCAAAGATGTCTCCTTGAGGACTAAGGTACATCTGACACAAGACATGATATTTTCAGTCGCCTTATATGCACATGAGGAGCTCTGGTGGCATAGTGCCTTGTTGTTATGTGCCGTCGAGTCGTACCCGACTCATAGCGACCCTCCTTGGGTTTCCGAAGCAATATGACTACGGAGGTAGTTTGCCCCATCTTCCTTCCAGGAGTGGCTGGTGGGTGTGAACCACCAGCCTTCTGGTTAACAGTCAAGTGCCTTAGGCGCTTAGTGACTGCTAACCAGAAAGCAAGTGGTTCACACCCACCAGCCACTCCTCGGAAGGAAGGTTGGGCAATCCTACTTCCATAGTGATACTGCCTCAGAAACCCAAGGAGTGGTCACTGTGAGTCGGGTCTGACTCAATAACAGTGAGTTTGGTTTTTTTGGTTTCATATACATGTGAGAGCTGGACAGTGAATAAGGAAGACCAAAGAAGAGTTGATTCTTTTGAGTTGTGGTGCTGGTAAAGAATGCTGAAAGTACTATGGACTACTAAAAGAACTAACAGATCTATCCTGGAGGAAGTGCAGCCAGAATGCTCCTTGGAAGTGAGAATGGCCAGACTTCGTCTCAACTACTTTGGTCTTGTTTTCAGAAAGCATAATTCCCTGGAGAAGGAGTCATGCTTGGTAAGGTGGAGGGTTGATGAAAGAGAGAAAGGCCCTCAATGAGATGGATTGACACAATGGCTGCGGCGATGGGCTCAAGTACAGCAGAGATCATGGAGCTGGTGGGGGACCAGGCGGTGTTCTGCTGTGCATAGGGTCACTATGAGTCAGAGACAACTCGACGGCACCTAGCAATAACAACAACGAGCTCTATAAAGGCTGGAATGATATGATATTGCCCTTAACTGCCTCAGTAAGGTGTTTTGTTTTAGGAAATAATGACTTTAGGCTAAGAAACCAGGCTGGACAATAATAGTAATCTCCATGTTTTTGTTGTACTATATTCTAGTTGTCTGTTGCTTTTTGGGGGGGGGGTGAGTTGTGCTAAATATGTAATTTGGACAGAGTTTGCTGGGGATGGCTTATACCTCTCCTCAACACCTCTGCTCATATAGCTGATGCAACTTGACTGAGGCTGGAAGGCCCACCTCCGGAATGCCTCACACAAAAGGTTGGAAAGGTGATGTTGGCTGTCAGCTGGCTGTTAACCGCACCAGTAGATAGTACTTTTTCTTTTTTTTCCTGTGGGTCTAAGAGTGAGTGTTCCAAGGAAGTGGAAGTTGCCTTATCTTTCAGACCTGGGCTCAGAAACTAGAACAGCATCGTGTCCACTGTGTTGTCTTGGTCAAATCTGCCACACAGCCCCTACCTCCAACTCACTCCTGAGTCTTAAGAGTGGAGGATACATAGACTTCCACCTTCTAATAGGAGGAGCTTCAAAGACTTTGTGGCTCTCTTTAATCCACCACGTACTAACAGATTCTTTCCTCCCCTCACTTTTCTTTAGCTCTCACGGCTGCTGCAGGAAGAGGGAAACTGGATGTCTGCGAGCTATTGCTGGAGCATGGAGCTGTTGTGTCTCGGACTAACAGGAGAGGGGTCCCACCTTTGTTTTGTGCAGCACGACAGGGGCATTGGCAGGTACTGTGTGGGCCCTTGAATGCTTCAGAAACAGTGGGGATAGATTTCACTACTGCCCATCTCTCCTTTGAGGTCACATGTGGCCAGATCCTATATCCCCTTAAACCAAAAAAAACAAACTCACTACCGTGGAATGAGATCTGACTCATAGTGACCCCTCTTTGGGTTTCCGAGGCAGTATCGCTAAGGAAATAAATTGCCCAGTCTTCCTTCCAAGGAGTGGCTGGTAGGTTTGAACCACAAGCCTTCTGGTTAGCAGTCAAATGCCCTATGCCAGCAGAGCTGTGCTTTAGCCCTGTCTATTGTGTTTCACATCTTGGCTTCTGCTTTTACCTCAGTCCTGCTGGATAAAGTCAGACATTTGGCAGAAGAGCACAGGGTCAACATACAGGCTTAAAAACAGGCTGAAAATCAGTCCATAGACACACAACTGCTTCCTTTTAACTTGGGAGGGCCCTGAGATACTGGGGAGGGGAAGTCAGTGGGTGGAACCCATCCTGATAATAGATTCTTCAGCAGTAGTGGTGGTGGTGGGGGGTGGTTGTTATCTTATGATCCATTTATCCGTCATACTTGGAAGGAGAGCAGTTCTGTTGTACTCTTTGGAAGTGGAAACATTTTCCCTCTGACCTTGTCCTTTGATTCAGGCTGGTTTTCTTTTACTGTGATTAACATGTTGCCTTTAATCCAGTCATTTGATGGATCATTTGAAAGCAGCAGTTTTATTCATTCATTTCTTCACTTTTGTAAACAGTGACCATGTGCCTACCCCATGAGTGACACTAGGCACACACAGGCTACAAACCAAAGATAAATGGATTTTACTGTGTCCACTGTAGGAAGAGTTTTCTAGACCAAAATTTACATAATGGGAATTGCTCTTCTCCCCTTTCCTACTGAGCTCCATTGACAGGACGTACAAGGGCTCCTCTCCTCCCCAAGATTTTAGTTTTCTCTTGAAATTTTCCTTTTTTGTTTCCAAGAGCTAGTTCCAGAGAGGGGTTTGCACCATACGTTTCTGTCACCTGACAGATTCTGCCTTATTACTCTGGCTAGTCTCTAGTGGTGTAGTGCCTAAAGCACTTGACTGCTAACCAGAAGGCTGGAGGTTCAAATCCACCAGCCACTCCTTGGAAGGAAGATGGAGCAATCTACTTCCGTAGTGATACTGCCTTGGAAACCCTAGGAGGGGTCGCTATGAGTTGGGTCGGACTCGACGGCACATAACAACAACAAGAAGTCTCTCTCCTGACCCTGGTGTTTTCTAGATCATGCGGAAGTTAGGAAGCATTTGCTGGTGCATAAAGAACAAGATAGCAATGGGAATATGCTCCCTTCTGTTCTTGCAGGTGATAGAACAGAGGTAGCCGAGAAAAACCTTGGACTGTGCCCTTGAAGAGAGCAGCTCTTACTGGGCTGGTGGTTATGAGATGTCGCCCTGCTCCCCCCACCAACCCACCCCCACCCCTAGCTTTAGCTTTTGATGGTTCTGTTTAAATACAAGGCCCTGAAGCTGAGAATCTGCTTTAAAAACAAAAATGAAACTCACTGCTGTGGAGTCAGATCTGACTGATAGTGACCCCTCTTTGGATTTCCGAGGCAATATCATTGCAGAAGTAGATCAAAAAACCAAACTCAGTACCGTGGAGTCGATTTCGGCTCATAGCAACCCCTTCTTGAGTTTCCAAGGTTGTATCTCTGGTGGCGTAGTGCCTAAGGCATTTGACTGCTAACCAGAAGACTGGTTAAACCCACTAGCCATTCCTCGGAAGGAAGACTGGGCAATCTACTTCCATAGTGATACCACCTTGGAAACCCAAGGAGGGGTTGCTATTAGTCAGATCCAACTCGGCAGCAGTGAGCTTTTTGGAGTTTTGGTATCTCTATGGAAGTAGATTGCGCAGTTGTCCTTCTGAGGAGTGGCTGGTGGGTTTGAACCACAGGACTTCTGGTTAGCAGTCAAATGCCTTAGGCACCAAGCCACCAGACCTCAGATTCATTCATTCTTTCACTTTGTAAACTTTGCTAAAAATTGCCTTTTGTAAGCCTCAGGCCATCCACCAAGCCTTAAATCTTTTAAAAGTAGGTTGCATGGGGTGGAGTGGCAACCTCCCATGCCCTTATCCCACAGTTACTTCACTTTAGCTCCAGCCTGGAACCTAAATGACCCTTAGCTAAGCTTCCCATATCCCCCAGTGGGTATGTACTGTGTTTGGTTACCATTTTCTCCCCAAAGTTACTCTTTCTGCCTGGTGTGTGTGTTTTGTAGACCTAAGAATGAATTGTTGTTAGGTGCCATCAAGTAGCCTCTGACTCAAAGCAACCCTGTGTGCAACAGAATGAAGCACTACTTGATACTGCACCAGCCTCACAATCCTTGGTACATACCTGAGTCTGTCATTGTAGCTACTCTGTCAGTCCACCTCCTAGAGGGTTTTCTCCTTTTTCGCTGACCCTCCATTTTACCAAGCATGATATCCTTCTTAAATCTTTTAAAAGTAGGTTGCATGGGGTGGAGTGGCAACCTCCCATGCCCTTATCCCACAGTTACTTCACTTTAGCTCCAGCCTGGAACCTAAATGACCCTTAGCTAAGCTTCCCATATCCCCCAGTGGGTATGTACCTGGTTATGGTTACCATTTTCTCCCCAAAGTTACTCTTTCTGCCTGGTGTGTGTGTTTTGTAGACCTAAGAATGAATTGTTGTTAGGTGCCATCGAGTAGCCTCTGACTCAAAGCAACCCTGTGTGCAACAGAATGAAGCACTACTTGATACTGCACCAGCCTCACAATCCTTGGTACATACCTGAGTCTGTCATTGTAGCTACTCTGTCAGTCCACCTCCTAGAGGGTTTTCTCCTTTTTCGCTGACCCTCCATTTTACCAAGCATGATATCCTTCTTCAAGGGATGATCCCTTCTGACAGAGTGACCAAAGTAGGTGAGACGAAGTCTGGCCATTCTTGCTTCCAAGGAGCATTCGGCTGTACTTCTTCCAGGACAGATCCATTAGTTCTTTTAGCAGTCCATGGTAATTTGAGTATTCGTCGCCAGACTCCAGCTCAGAAGCATCTGTTCTTCTTCAGTCTTCCCTATTCATTGTCCCGTTCTCACATGCATATGAGGCAATTGAAAATACCATGGCTTCGGTTAGGTGCTCCTTAGTCTTCAAGGAGACATCTTTGCCTTCAGCACTTGAAAGAGGTCTTTTGTAGCTGATTTGCCCAATGCAATATGTCTTTTGATGTCTTGACGGCTGCTTCCATTGGTGTTGGTTGTAGAACCAAGCAATGTGAAGTGTTTGTGACAACTTCAATCTTTTCTCCATTTATCGTGCTGCTGCTTATTGGTCTACTTGTGTGGATTTTTGTTTTCTTTACATTGAGGTGTAATCCATACTGTAGACTGTAGTCTTCAATCTTCATCAGTAAGTACTTCAAGACATCCTCACTTTGAGCAAGCAGAGTTGTGTCGTCTGCATATTGCAGGTTGTTACTGAGCCTTCCTCCAATACTGATGCCACAGTCTTCATCTAGTCCAGCTTCTCGGAGTATTTGCTCAGGATAAAGATTGAATAAGTATGGTGAAAGAATACAACCCTGATGCACAGCCTTCCTGATTTTAAACTCTACAGTTTCCCCTCATTCTGTTCAAATGACAGCCTTCTAGTCTACGTACAGGTTCCTCATGAACACAATTAAATGTTTTGGAATTCCCATTCTTCTCAATGTTATCCATAATTTGTTACGATCCATATAGTCAAATGCTTTTGGATAGTCAATAAAACACAAGTAAACATCTTTCTAGTATTCTCTGCTTTCAGCTAAGATCCATCTGACATCAGCAATGATATCCCTCATCCCATGTCATCTTCTGAACCCAGCCTGCATTTCTGGAAGTGCTCTGTCAATATACTGCTGCAACCGTTTTTGAATTATCTTCAGTAAGATTTTACTTGAGTGCAATATTAATGATAATGTTCAATAATTTCCACGTTCTGTGGGATCACCTTTCTTTGGAATGAATACAAATATAGATCTCTTCCAGTCATTTGGCCAGGGAGCTGTCTTCCAAATTTGTTGGCATAGATAAGTAAGTGCCTCCAGGAGTGGCTCATCCCTTTGGTTCCTGTTCACAAGGGGAGTGGTTTCCAACTCGACAGCACATAACAACAACAACAACAACAAGACTAGTTTGAGTAGGATTGGTGTCAGTTCTCTGAACATTCTGTAGAATTCTCCAGTGAAACTGTATGGGTCAGGGCTTTTTTTTTTTTAATATAACCTGTTCACTTTCTTTTTTTGTTATGGGTCTGTTCAGATTTTCCACCTCAGTGTGTATTAGTTTAGGTAAGTATTTCTAAGGCAGTATCTCTATGGAAGTAGATTGTCCAGTCTTCCTTCTGAGGAATGGCTGGTGGGTTTGAACTGTCAGCCATCTGGTTAGCAGTCAGATCCTGTAGGTACTACACCACCAGAACTCCCCCATTTTTTCTAGATTTTCAAATTTGTTTGCATATACATCTTCATAGTGTCCTGATATTATCCTTTTTAATTTCTGTTGGTTCTCTTGTGACATTGCCCAGTTCATTTCTTACTGCATTATTTGTATTCTCTTCCTTTTTTTCATTGTTAAATTTGCTAGTGGTTTGTCAATTTTATTAATCTTTTCAAGATACCAACTTATAGTCTTACTGATTTTTTTCCTACTGTCTATTTTCTTTTTCATTTATTTCTGCTTAAACTGTTATTTCCTTCTGGTGACTGTAGGCTTTTTTTTTTTTTTTTGGTGCTCTTTTTGTGATTGTTGGAGATGTTGGTTTAAAGTGTTGATTTTGGCTCTTTCTTCTTTTTTGATGTATACATTTATTGCTATAAATTTGTCTCTGATCACTGCTTTTGCTGTGTCCCAAAGATTTTGGTACGTTATGTTTTCATTCTTATTTGATTCAAGGAAGTTTTTAATTTCATTTTTTATTTCTTCTATTACCCAGTCTTTTTCAAGGATGGTGTTTACTCAGTTTCCATGTGTTTGTTCTTTTTCCCTTAATTTTCCTATTGCTGATTTCTAATTTGATAGCATTGGGATCTGAGAAGATGCTTTGCAGTATATCAGTGTTTTTAAATGTATTAATGTTTGCTTTGTGGCCTAACATATGGTCTGTCCTGGAGAATGTTCTGTGGGCACCGTACAATAATGTGTATTATGCTGTTGTTCAGTAAAGTGCCCTGTAGATGTCTATAAGGTCATGTTGGTGGATTGTATTGTTTAGTACTTCTGTGTCTTTGTTGCATTTCTTTCCAGTTGTTCTATCTTTGATTAAAGTGGTGTTTTAAAGTCTCCTACTATGGCTGTGGAGTTATCTTTTTTTTTTTTTTTTTTTCTCTCTCCAGTTCTGTTACAGTTTAATTTATGTATTTTGGGGATCTTTCATTGGGTGCATATTTATTTATTATTATGTCCTCTTGTTCAGTTGATCCTTTAACCATTATATAATGTACTTCCTTGTTTCTTATGGTGATTTTTGTCTTAAAGTCAATTTTGTCAGAAACTAATACTGCCACTCCTACTCTTTTATGATTGCCATTTGCTTGATACATCTTTTTCCAACCTTTGATTTTTAGTCTCTCTTTGTTTTTGTCTCTGAGGTGTGTCTCTTATAGACAGCATATTGATGGGTTGTTTTCTTATCCATTCTGCAACTCTCCATCTCTTGAGTGGGAATTTCATTCGTTGACATTCAGTGTAAATATCTACAAGTATGAATTTGTTGCTGTCATTTTGTTGTGTGTTTTTTCATGATGTTGCCTATTTCTTTGTTCCATATAATTGTCTGTGCTGAGCCATTTTGTTTATGAACTGTGTTATCATTTCCTTTATTACTATTGTTTTCATATTTGCTAAATATTTGTGCTTGTCCTCTTTTTTATTTTGATGTGAAGGTTTATCTTTTTTTTTTTTTTTTTGTGGTTACCCTGTTTATAATTTTCTTTCCAAGTTTAGAACAGTCCATTCTATCTTGCAGTTGTCTTGACTTCCTCACCATTTAGAAGTTCTGTAACTCTCTTTGTTTTGTAGTTGTCCTCTTTGCCAATTGATGTCTCTGGTTCCCTGTTTACAATCTTGTGAGCTTATTTACTTTGGATACTTCTGTAACTGGGTTGGTTTCTTGGTTAAGTCATCATGTGTGAGTGGTTGGTTGTTGTTTGGTGGTGTTGGTGCTCGGTTCGAAGGACTCCATTTAGCATCTCTTGTAAGGTTGGTCTGGTTTTAAGAAATTCCTGTAATTTCTGCTTATCTGGAAATGTCCTCATTTCACCATTGTATTTGAGGGACAGTTTTGCTGGGTATATAGTTCTTGGTTGGAAATTTTTTTCTTTCAGGGTTTTATATATACCATCCTATTGCCTTCTTGCCAACCTGGTTTCTGCCAAGACATCAGAGCTTAGTCTTATTGGTTGTCCTTGGTAGGTAACTTTTCATTTTTCCCGTGCTGCTTTCAGGATTCTTTCTTTATCTTTGGTTTTGGTGAGTTTGATGATATGTCTTGGTCATTTTCTTTTGGGGTTTATCTGTTTGGGTCTCATTGGACTTCTTGAATGGATATATTCTCATCTTTGATCATATCAGGGAAATTGTCTTCCAACAAATCTCTGACAGTTTTCTCTGTAGTTTTATTTGTCTCTTCCTGTTCTAAAATTCCGATTAAACGTGGGTTATTCCTTTTGATAGTATGTCATATAATCCTTAGGCTTTCTTCATTTTGTTTTGACCTTTTTTCTGATTGATCCCTTTCCAAAGAAGTATTCAGGTATTTGTCTTCAGTCTCACTAATTCTGTCTTCCATTGTATCAGTTCTACTCTTTTGCCCTTTCAATGTGTTATCTACTTTTGAAAATTTAGTATTAATCTTCTGAATTTCTGTGTGTAGATTTTGTATCATTTCTAATTTTTCATTAATTTTGTCATTTTGTTCTTATATCGTCTTTTGAAATTTTTCTAGGGTTTTCTGTGTTTTCCTCAATTTTGTCCGTGTTTTCCTTGATCTGTCTCTCAATTCGTTGAAGGTACCTAAATATAATTATTTTGAATTCCTTATCAGGGAGTTCCAATGCTGTTTCTTCCTTAGGGATGTGTTTTGGATCTGTATTCTGGTCCCTTGTTTCTCTTGCTTCTTTGTGTGGACTGTGATGGTCTGTTGTCTGCAGACATTGTGACACTTTTGTGTTTATATTTTATTGGTGATTGTATGTTGGAATGATTCACCCAAGATTTTAATTTTCTTTGTTTTGTTTGGGTGCTATCTGAGTAAGGAGGATTCTGTGCCCTCTATTCATTAGTTGGCAGCTCTTATGCACTTACCACCTGTCTCCTTCCCAATCATTAGCCTCCTGTATATCCGTGTTGTCCTTGGCAAGCGGAGCCTATTCTTAGGTCCCTGGAATCTGCATGAGAATGTTGTCACTTTAAATATCTAAAATGGCCACCGTTTGTAAACATTCAAAATGGCTACACTCTCTGGACAGCTGAAAGTCCACAGCTCAGTATGTCTCCTCCTTTACTGTTTCCCTTTTTAGTCATCAGACACCAGCACAGTTGTCCATGCAGCCCTTGGCAAACAGGGCCCATTTTTAGGTTAATTCTCAGGTCCCAACACCATTTGGAAATCTGTCCGTGCCATCAGGATAGCTGACAGTCTGCAGCTCCATTTGTCTCCTGAGTCACTATATTCATTCAGGTTCTTCTACTAGTTGGTGTTTAATCCACTGCTGTATCCTTCATTTCAAAGCTCAGGGCTCCAGGATTATCTTCTCTATCTCTGCCAATTGATTTATCTTTTCTTTGTTGAAGAGGGTCTGTGTAGCTTGTCTGCCTGTTCCACCATCTTACTGGAAGTCCATCCTTTCCTGTCTTTTTAATGACCTTTTGCTTTCTTCATGGTTGATGTTCTTGATGTCATCCCACAGTTCCTCTAGTTTTCAGTCATTGGTGTTCAGTATGTCAAATCTGTTCTTCAAATGGTTTCTAAATTCAGTTGGGACACAATCAAGGTCATATGTTGGCTCTTGTGGACTTGTTTTAATGGTTTTCAGCTTCAGCTTGAACTTGCATATGAGCAGTTGATTGATGGTCTGTTCCACACTCAGTCCCTGGCCTTGTTTTGGCTAAAGATACTGAGCTTCTCCATCGCCTCTTTCCACAGAAGTAGTCATTCTGATTCCTGTTTATTCCATCTAGTGAGCGATATGTGTCTACCCCATTTATGTTGGTGAAAAAAGGTAATTACAGTAAATAAGTCTCTGGTCTTGCAAAATGCTATCATTTGATCTCCAGCATCATATCCAGTTGGCCATATTTTCCAACTACTGGTGATTCTTCTTTGTTTCTAGTTTTTGCATTTCAGTCACCAGTAATAATCAACACATCTTGATTGCATGTTTGGTCAATTTCAGACTGCAGGAGTTAGTAAAAATCTTCAGTTTTCTCATCTTTGGGTTTGGTTGTTGGTGTGTAAATTTGAATAATAGTAGTATTAACTGTTCTTCCTTGTATGTGTATGGATATTATCCTATCACTGACAGCACTGTACTTCAGGATAGATTTTGAAATATTCTTTGTGACGATAAATGCCGCGCCATTCCTCTTCAGTTTATTATTCCCAGCTTAGTAGGTCATATGGTTGTGTGATTCAGAATGGCCAAAACCAATCCATTTCAGCTCACTAATGCTTAGGATATCAATCTTTATGTGTCAGATTTCATTTTTGACAACTTCCAATTTTCCTGCATCATACTTCATACATTCCATGTTCTGATTATTAGTGGATGTTTGCAGCTGTTTCTTCTCATCTTGAGTCATGCCACATTGGCAAATGGATGTCCCAAAAGCTTTACTCCATCCACATCATTAAGGTTGACTCTACTCTGAGGGGGCAGCTCTTCCCTAGTCGTATTTTGAGTGCTTTCCAACCTGAGGGGCTCATCTTCTGGCACTATATTAGACAGTGTTTCACTGCTATTCATAAGGTTTTCACTGGCCAGTTCTTTGAGTAGTGGATGGCCCTTTCTTCTGACTCTTAGTCTGGAAGCTCCACAGAAACTTGTCCACCGTGGGTGACCCTGCTGGTATTTGAAATACTGGTAGCATAGCCTCCAGCCTCACTGCAACATGCAAGCCACCACAGTATGACAGACTGACAGACGAATGGTGGACTAATGAACTAAGTATGCTAAAATAAAGAGCAGATGTATGGAAAAAGATGCTGTCCAAAAGAATAGAAAGTTTTTACACACCCCATGGATCACAAAGCTAAAGGGATTTTTTAAAGGAGGGGATTGTACTACGTTTAAAGGCAGAGAACCCCATCTGGGTGCAGAGAGGGCAATTTGGAATGCAGTGGGTAGGTTGTGACTCTGAACATTTCTTTCAGATTGTGAGGTTGCTTCTGGAGTGCGGCTGTGATGTGAACCTGAGTGACAAGCAGGGACGGACGCCCCTTATGGTGGCTGCATGTGAAGGGCACTTAAGCACCGTGGAATTTCTTCTTTCAAAAGGTAGCTGCACATCGGCCCTGCCTTTTGATTATTTAGAATGGATGAAGAAAAGTTTTGGCAGACCCATTCCGTACTTTCTGACTCACATTTTAAAAATGTTTTTGTCATGGAAATTTTTGAGTATGCACAAAAGTGGATAGTCTAGGTAGTGAATACCTGTGTATCCTCTGCCCAGCTTCAATAATGTGTTGTTGTTGTTAGGTGCCATGGAGTTGGCTCTGACTCATAGTGACCCTATGTACAACAGAACAAAACACTGCCCTGTCCTGTGCTATCCTCACAATCATTGCTGTGTTTGACCCTGTTGTTGGAGCCCCTGTGCCAGTCCAACTTGTTGAGGGTCTTCCTCTTTTTTTTGCTGACCCTCCAGTTAACCAAGTCCTTCTCCAGGGACTGGTCCCACTTGATCCTTGTTTGTTGGCCAGTTGGCTTCAAATTTCGCAGCACTGGATTGACATGCTGTTCAGGCCAGGTATTTGTAGTTATGAAATGGTTTGCTTCTTAGCCTTTTTTTTCTTTCCCCACTCTTTTTTTTTTTTTTAATTGTGATTTGGGTGAAAGTTTACAGAGCAAATTCACTTTCCATACAGCAGTTCACATACACTTTGTCTCGTGACATTGACTATAATTTACCCCAATGCAACAGTTCCCCTCCCACTTCCTCCCAATACTTACCTCTTCTTCGCTGTGTCCATTCCTCTTGCACTCCTGCCCCCTGAGCTGTCTCCCTGTGCATAAACAGCCCTTCTTTCTCCCATGATTATTCTCTCCAAGGAGTGTATCTACCTTGGGTAAATGTTCAACTCATATGCCTGTCTTTTGTTTGGCTGGAAGCCACAGGTGTGGGTTCAATTCCAGACCTAAAGGGCAGCTAGGGGCCATAGTCTCAGTGGTTCCACCAGGCTCTATCAGACCAGCAAACCTGGTCCCCCCTTTTTTTTTTTTTTAATTTCCAAATGATTTTGAGTTTTGTTCCACATTGTTCTCCCTCTCTATCCAGGATCTCCTACATAGATCCCCCTCTGAGTGGTTGACAATGGTAGCCCGGCACCATCTAGTTCTTCTGGTCTCATAGTTGTTGTATAGGCTAAGGATCACATAGTATACCAGTCACTAGGACTAATTATTTCCATGAATCTTTGATTTTCTTCGTTCTTCTTTTCTCTGGACGAGGAGACCCATTGTTGCATCGAGATGGCTGCTTGCAAACTTTTAAGATCCCAGTTGCTACTCACCAAAGTAGGATGTGGAACAATGTTTTGTGTAGTATGTTATGCCAGTTGAGCTTGATGTCCCCTGTGACTATGGTCCCGAGCCCATCAGTTCAACTATTCAGTCACTCTGGGTAGCTGTCTATGACTAAGTGCTTCTTGGCTTTTTCTTAATTAGGTTTGTGTTTTGTGAATGGGCTTGTCTTTCAGGTGCTGCCCTTTCTTCTCTGGACAAAGAGGGTCTGTCAGCGTTAAGCTGGGCTTGTCTGAAAGGTCACAGGACAGTGGTTCAGTATCTAGTTGAAGAAGGAGCCGCAATAGACCAGACAGACAAGAATGGCCGCACTCCTTTGGACCTGGCAGCCTTCTATGGGGATGCAGAGACAGTAAGTGCTAACAGACGTTCACTCTCCTCCAGCTGCATGCCCAGGACCAGCATCACACAGAACTCCCATGAACCTGACAATTTCCAGAGTGTGTGTGAGGCTGTGCCCATGTGTGATCAGTGTGTGTGTATGTGTCATGCATTGTTGCTCTAAAATTCCATGACTTGCAGTCTGTTCCAGGACTCTAGTAAAAACTTTAAAAGACTCTTAAAAATTTAAAAGCCTTGATTATAAACTGTATACACAGCAGAGACATATATGTGAATATGTATACATGCATGCATATGTGGTTTTATTTTCTCATAGTAATTCATATAAATAGAATAACTATAAATAATTTTAAAATCACTCTTATATGTGAGAAATAATCAAATAGTTATTTTGCTTTCAAAGCGATGTGGCATTGCCTGTACGTAATATAAAATGCTTTTGGGACCACCTTTATCATTCTACCAAATTCCTAAGTCTAATGAAGGTGCGAAGAGATAAAACCTTAATAAGCTAAGAACCACAAAATGCCTTTCAGGGCAGAAACCATATCTGTCACGCTCCACATCCCAGGAGCCCAGCAGATGCTAGAGACATACATAATCAGTTACTGGAGAGTTTGCACCGTTGAATAGTTTGATCTGTACAATATGTGGAGAATAGCTTAGGAAGCAAGAACTGTGCTACTGGGAGCTGTGTCCCTTGGAGAAAAAGCTTTCACCCTGCACATCTGAGCCTTGGTGCTTTAAAAGGTTGTGATGCTAGAGTTCTATGATGTCAGTTTCTTGTACCTTGTATACTGTACTTCATGGTGATTTGCAGAAACAGATTTTTAATTAAATCTCATGTATCCACACACTTTAATTGTTCAGCTTACACTGTCTTGCCAAATTCTGTAGTTTGGCAACATGTGGTGGTTAAATTTGTATGTCAACTTGGCTGGGCCTGGTTGAGTGGCTGGGCAGCTGAATGTAGTTATTCCCTGTGATGAGACTGGCAGTCAGCTCCATGATGGGATCTACCACAAGCAGCTGAGTAGCTGCCTTTGGGATGTGGTCTGCTTCCTGTATATAAGGAGAAGCCTTGGGGATAGTCTCTAGCTTATGGCACACTTGGACCCTGCATGTAGCCATGTTGTCATTCAGCAGCCTGCCATGCTCTGCTGACCTTGGGACTTAAAACGGACTTAAATTAATGGCCTGCTGTGTAGTTTGGTAACATTGGGACTGTGCCTTTTTACTTGTCAACCTTGGACTTCTCAGCTCAGCATCCAGCAGCTGTCTGAGTGAAGAAAAGCCTCTAGCTCCAGTGGGCCAGGAGCAGGAGGCAGAGCTGGACCCCGAGGTTGAGGGGCTTTCACCCAGCCCCTAGAGCCTGGCACTTTGAACTTGGACTTAAAGCCTCCAAACTTAAGGGAATAAACTCCCGTTTATTAAGGCCATGCCATTTGTGCTATATTCTTGTCAGAGCAGCACTTTGTAACCAGAACACAACATTTGGGAAGAGTGAAGGAGCTTAGCATTCTAGGGTCATTTTGGAACAGCTGATGGACTGATAGAATGAATGTCCTGTCATATGCATGTAAAAATCTAAAGTGGCTACATTTTAGAGTGAGCGATTTGAGTGGTCAAAGTGGTCATTGTCCAAGTGACAGCTACTTTATCAATCTTTACCATGGTCTCAAACTTTCCATCTTTATAGTCCCAGTATTCAGTTTTTTTTCCTAAGCCTTAAAAGGTGAGTTATGCTCAAGTCCTTCTGGTCCCAAGCTGCTAATTTTTGTGGCTTGCTATGCCCAGGCTATATTGATCTGAGTGTTTGTAAAGTTCCCATTACTATATAACCTGCAAGCACATTGCAGCTTATTGCAGAATCTACCTCCTAATTAACTGGAGATGAACAGGTAACTGGGCACATCTCTGTGGCTTAGGAAGTGATGAAGAGACAGATAGGTCATGCAGGTGGACATACACACATGTGTGGTATATGGGTGCTAGCATACAGCACATCTCTCTTCCTGTTCTCTTCCTCAGTGATAATCACAATCACTTTAATCACCAATTACTTTTATTACAGTCACTGGGTTTTAGCTATAGATTCCAGCTTTTCTTCTCCATTTTGTGTCAACTTTATTTCTGTTCCAGGATCACTGATGGCTACAGGCATCTCAAATAAGAGTAGAGCTGGCTGCCAGGCTCTGGTCCAAGAGGCCAAACAAGGTGTTGGGGAGCTGTAGCACTCCTGCCCTGTGCTGCTCCTCAGGGCCTCTGTCTCCCCACTGTAGGTGCTGTACCTGGTGGAGAAAGGTGCTGTGATTGAGCACGTGGACCACAGCGGCATGCGTCCCCTGGACAGAGCCATTGGCTGTCGAAACACATCTGTAGTGGTGACACTACTGAGAAAAGGAGCCAAATTAGGTCAGTGAATGCCACCTTAGTTCAGCAGACAGAAGGAAGTTAACTTCAGATTTTGCAGTGTATTAGGGAGCCTTGACATTTATCTGCCTCCAGGTTAAGAAATAAAATGTCCAATGTTTCGATTTTTTTTTCCTGTCCACCCCACCACCACCCCCCGCAGGCTTATTTAAGCACCTAACAACCACAAACTAAACTCAGTGCCATCGAGTAGATTCCAACTCATAGCGACCCCCTTTGGGTGTCTGAGGCTGTAAATCCTTACGGAAGTAGATTGCCCCATCTTCCTTCTGCAGAGCAGCTTGTGGATTTGAACCACTGACCTCCTGGTTAGCAGCCAAATGTAACTCATACTAATAATAATGTGGGTAGAACAAGTAACCAGTTGTCATCAAGTCATTCCAACTGACGACAATGCCATGTGTGCTGGAATAGAAACTGTACTCCATAGGATTTTCAATGGCTGGTTTTTCTTTTGTTTTGTTTTTGGAAATAAATCACTTAGTCTTTCTTCCACAGCCCTTCTGAGTAGACTCGAACCTCCAGCCTTTAGTTAGCAGCCAAGCATGTTAACAGTTGGCACTTCCCAGGGACACCCTGTGGGTAGAAAGCAGAGGCTAATGTTGAAGATAGTCTAGAGTAGCAGGGTGGTAGCAATGCCCAGGATGTGCTCCCTGGAGCAATCAGATTAGACTCAGGGGTAGGGGGAAGGACCCAAGCAGCAGTAGTTACTAAAGCTCACCAGGTGATTCTAATGAGCAGCTAGGTTGAGATCCACTGTTGTACAGTAATCATTGTGCCCTGGGCAGGCAAATTGCAACCCCAGCATGGTTTATACAAGGAAAAAGTCATGTGATCTAATTGAGCTGAGATGGGTTACCTGAAGACAAAACATGTGGGGGCTCTGAGTATAGAGAGACCCTTTGTGTGGCTGATTGGAGCATAAAACACCATTCAGACTGTGGTGAGAGAGGAGCAACTAGAGAGTCACTGTTCGAGTTTGAAACACAAGACATTTGACCAACAGTAGCTCTGGGCAGGGGACTACAATGAAGAAGATGATACAGGTTAATGTTAGTAAGCAGTTAGCAGTATCTGGAGCTCTCCTGTGCATTTTCATATTTTAACTTTTAATGTTCACTCCAACCCTGTAAGTGGTGGTGGTGATATCATTTTACAGATGAGAAAACCAAGGCATAGAGAAGTAAGTGGCAGTCAGGGTTTTAATTGAAGCAGTGTGACTCCTGGAGCCATGCTCTTAAATACTACCCCACACAGTGTTGTGAGTGTTGAGAAGATGCCTTGATGTAGGCTGGCGGAGAGGAGGTGGGCACAGACATGAGCAAGAAGGCCTAGAGAATGAGGCCTAGGAAGAAAGGAGAAGCTCCACAGTTAGGTAATCCCAGGAATAGATTTTAATGGTAGGATGCAAGAGGATGCTAAGAACACACAACTCCATTTGTTGCCTGTGATGATGGGTGCTGCGAGAAGCTAATGAGATTTGTCAGAAGTTTTGATTTCTCCCCAAGATCCCCATTGGTGAGGATGGGTTGTGGCTGCTGTGATGCCTTAGGTTTGCAAGACTTTATTCACTTGAAGAATAGCAGTGGATCTGTCTCTTAGATTTATGTCTTACACTGGTGCGGCATAAAGCCTATTAGAAACGAAACCGTCTCATGGGTGTGCTGTGCTCTTTCCTTCAGTGTATTATCTGGAAGCTGGAAAACTGCAGAAACAGTTGTCCTGTGCAGCTGGGTTCTCTGCTGTACATGATGTGTGTAGCTTTGGTGGGGCCCCAGAAGAATTGAACTCCTTCCCTCCAAGACCCTGCAGTGCTCTGAATGCATGTTTATTTTGCAGGAAATGCTGCTTGGGCGATGGCCACGTCCAAACCTGATATTTTGATTATACTTCTACAGAAATTAATGGAGGAAGGAAATGTGATGTACAAAGTAAGTGGTATCGCCCTTTTCTATGGCTTTGTGACTGACTCTAGCCATTTATTAGTTTGGTACAAAGGACAGAGAATACCTTGGTTTTAAGAGGAGTTGGAAGAGACGCTAACCTGGCCTCATGTCCGTGGTTTGTTTACTATCTTTTTTAAAAAGAAAAAAATGCATTTTATTGAAATGTAATTTATGTACAATGAAATACACAAAACTAAAGTGACATGGGTCCATGGTTTTTTTTTTTTTTTTTT